TTCATACCTTGGTCAGGACTTAAACTGTAAGCACGTAGTTCCACTGCAACACGTCCATTGCAAGACTCCGAGGTCAGAGACTTTGGAAACTTTCGTTAGGAGACCTATCTGTGGACTTCTAGGCATGTCAAATTCCCCAAATTCACTTCTGGGCACTCTGGCCGTGGAATAAACTGTTTATCTGAAACAGTCAAGGAACTTGAAGTTCAAGCGTCAGCAGGGGTGTGAGGGGAGGAGGCATCTGTAGTCTATTTCTGTTTTTGACGAGGTTAGGGGCGTATTAGAGAGGGGTCTGGTTTATTGTATGATTCAGACTGTTTCATAGCAATGTGAAATTTTGTATGTGAGTGATTCAGGAGTTCTTGTAGTGAGTTTTCTTTTAAAAATGTGTTGTCTGAAAGAGGGTGTTTCTAGGTTTTTGTCAACAGACAAATATGAGTGAAACACAAAACCTGTCAAGAATATATCCTGGATGTATTGACAGTCCTCTACAATGCGAGTAAATCACTCGCATATGCGACTAAATCTTTACTCTGGGCGACTAAATGATGTCTAATATTAGTCAACGGCTAATAAATTCTCAGATTTTACTCGCCAATGTGTGGGTTGGAGGTTAAGTATAAGTTAAGCACAGATATATTTTCACTCACAGAACACTCTGACTGAGCACTTCAGAGTTCTCTCTCAGTGAAGCGATCTGTGCTATTTTTCAGTTCATCTCTATGGATGCGCAGCGCACCTGTATTTCGCATGCCGTAAACTTTAGTGTGAAGGTGCACGACTCGCCGTCACTTTGCTTTTTTCTCACATGCAAAGAGAGAGACAGAGCGAGAGAGTCTTACGTACCATGCAGAATTGACGCGCTATATGTAAATGATATTCTTTGTTGTATTTTCCTGTCAAAATAACGGAGTTCCTTTGGAATTCTTCAGCTTTTAAGAACTGCCGGGTTTTCCTGTAGTAAGTTCTATCATTAAATGATACTTGATTATCATAATATCATATTATAATGCTTGACTGACTGATGTTAAGAGTGTACTTTCAGATATTTAAAAAGCTGTGCCATTTTACAAACTTTATATATGTTTGTAAAATAAATATAAAAAAAATTTAATATATAATATACATATCCATATATAATTTATCAGACTGGCGAGTAAACGAAAAAATTTACTAGCCAATGGCGATTCAATTGCCAAGGTGTCCATAGAGGGTTGATTGACCTGGACGTGTTTTAAATAAATATTTATCTTTACTTGAAGAAAACGATGGATGGGAAATTCAAACACTGAAGCCAATTAAATAATAAGTGATTCAATAATAAAGCAATGTATTTAAAACATTTATGTATCACACACACATTAACACAAATTTGACAGCCCTAAACTATTGAAGTACCTTTAATGTAATCAAGTAAATTAAAAAAATTCAGAAATGAGCAACAAAAACTCAATTAATATTTCCCAGTACAAATAAATCTTAATGGCCCTTAAAAAAGAGGCTTTAGATTTGTGCAAAATATAATTTCTTGTTTTTTGTGTTTTAGGGTGAAATGTGTCATTGACATGTTTTCAATATATCCATTTTGGGAAGAACTTATCTTAAAGGGGTCCTATTATACTTTTTCACTTTTTTAATTTTAGCCAGTGTCTAGTGTGTATGTTTGGGCATAAAAAAGATCTAGAAAGTTACAAATCTCAAAGTCCACTCCAAAGGGAGATATTTCGTTTTTAAAAAATCCCTTTTCAAGAACTACAACGAACGGCTCGTTTGGACTACAGCGTTTGTTTTCCGGGCTTTGTGATATCACAAAGCTACCCATTAGAATATCATTAAAAATAATTCCCACCTACATAAATTTGAATGGTTGGGGGGTGGGGAGGGGCGAGGTTGTGGTTAGAACGCTTGGTTGAGTGAGTGCATCAGACGAGACGACGAAGAAGAAGTGCTGCTGCAGAGTTAGTGCAGAGAAAACGAAGAAGAAGAGCTGCTGTGCTGTAGCTTCAAATTTTCGGCATGTCTAGAACAATTCTTACAAGTACAACACGACGTAGCTGGGCGCCGCGGACAGACGCCGAACGGCGCCGCCAATGTGCCTACACTCATAGAAAATAATGTATTTGAATTTTAAAGACGTGGCACGACGCGACGCTGCGCTTCTCGTCCGGTGCGCGACCGCCTGAAACTCTGTTTTTTTTCACCTCCGTGCCCAAACGTCTCTGTTTGGGCTTCCGAAAGCGGATGATGTCAGGAAACAGTGGTTGCAATTTATTTTTTAACTCTGTTCCTGAGCATTATAACCCAAATTTGCTATTGTGTGCTGCGCATTTTACTGAGGACAGCTTCCACAACACGAGGGAGTACAGTGCCGGATTCGCCAAAAGCTTTTGTTGAAAGACAGAGCAAGGGGCGTGGCAGTACTGAAACACCGTCTAAGCTGTTCGCCAATCACAACGCACTGGGACAGCTAACCAATCACAACACATTTTGTTTTTCGGAAGGCGGACCTTCATCAAAGCCGGAACTAATCGAGCCGTTTGTGCCAGGATGGGGAGAAAGGTATTTTAATAATGTAAATGATGTGAAAAATAATGCGTTTTTCGAACCACCAAGCATGAGAGCATGTTCTAGTACACCCCCAAAACAAAATCAAGACTTTGTAAAAGAGCATAATAGGACCCCTTTAAATACTTTTAAAGACTTTTGTCAGTCCCTAAAGCAGGGGTCGGCAAGCAAGTTTGGCATCAGGCCAAAAAAATTTTTCGCCACTAGATGGTGGCCCAGAACATAGTCAAAGGATAATTTAAGAAATTAATTGATGAAAAATGCAACTAGAATTGCCTATGACAGACTGTTACAGTGTCTTTTGTAACTGGTAGTGAGCTGTTACTCTGTTTAATCCTGTAGGAGGACAGTCATTAAAGGGTTAGTTCACCCAAAAATGAAAATTCTGTCATTAATTACTCACCCTCATGTCGTTCTAAACCCGTAAGACCTCCGTTCATCTTCAGAACACAAATTAAGATATTTTTGATGCATTCCGCAAAAGAAAAAAAATAACGACTTTATTCAACAATCCGTCTCCTCCGTGTCACCCTAGCGCCATTTTGGAGAGTATCCACTGAACGCAAACAGCGTATGTTGTTCTGTGTCAGCCGCACCACACGGATACTTTGTTTTCGTTCAAATCAAAGCACAAACATCGTAGAAAACGTATCCGTGTGGTGTACGTATATGTAACGTATATTAAAAAATAAAATTAATAAAATAACAGCAGAGTTTCAAAGTGGCTTATTGGAACAATAGTGTTCAAACTTTTTTCCTACCACATGACAAGTTAATAACATGGTAGTCAGCATTAAAAGGTATAATTGCTGTGGTTCATTTTTGCGGTTCAAGTTTTGTTTTTGATGAAGATAACAGTAGCCTACTTTTTCGTCAGTTATTTTTCCTACGGATCGATGCATTTCTTACAGATTTCTGCTCATTCGAAATCGGATACAGATGAAGTAGCACTGTAAGATTACATTTGTTTGAACAGTAGGGCTGGGTATCGTTCAAAAATTTTTGATATCGATACCGATACGATACTTTGACTTCGATACCGGTTCCTGAACGATACTTTTTTCGATACCAATTTTATGAAATCTATTTGAACAAGATTACATTATCTAAAAAAAAAACTTTGGTTTTATTTTTCTCTGCGTAAAAATAAGGGTCGTTTTTGGCTTTGGACTAAAACAAAAAGTAGAAGAGCTTATTGAAAAATGCTAATTCTCTCTTCATTCTTTCGCTTTTCGCCAGGAATATAGCCATTTCCCCGGTAACCGCAGTTAACAAAGCAGCGCAGCACCTGATTTTGCAACTTGCAGCGCTTATATTTCATCAATTAAACCATTGCCTTTTGACGTGTAAGCTATATCTCAATTTGCATGTATATTTGTTTTTTTCACCGGAGCACCACCTGAGTCTTCTCCTCCCATCCCATTTCTACCAGTGATCCTTTCCTTCCCACGGTACTCATCACTGTTGTAGGTTGCCAAGTTGAGGGGACAAATGGGTTGAAATTTGTATGTGTCGATTGTGTGAGAAGGATGCGTTTCATACAAGATCTGGCAACTGGGCAACCTTGGAATTTATTGACGCGATTATTCATATAATGAGGTTTGGGCCATACAAATTACGGGAGTTTTACCGGAGGCGAAGGTAGCAAACATATAAAATATGCCCATGGGATTTTTTTTATAGAAAGATTAAAAATACGGGAGAAATACGGGAAAATATGTAAACGTAATGATAGTGGGATAGAATGATAAAATACGGGAGAATCCCGGGAAAAACGGGAGGGCTGACAGGTATGGCTAAATATGCAGTTATATTAGGGGCTGTTGGCATGAATTGTACTCGTGATGGAGCGGTGGTGGAGCGCTATTGGAGCGAGTGAAAACCACGACGCTCCGATCTTTAAACAATCCGCTCCTCGCTCCATTCAAAATCACACCGCTCCACTCCACGCTCCGCTCACATAGCCTACTCTGATTGTGAGTAACTGTTGCTGTCATGACAGATCTATTTCAGAACCAGCCGCTATCAAAATTAATCTGGCTGCGGGCGCGGGCCAGATATTATTGCTGGCGGGCCAGTTTTGGCCCGCAGGCCGCCTGTTGCTGACCACTGCCCTAAAGCATCAAAATTTCACACACTACATTGTGTTACTGTGCTGGCTTGGCATTATGTAGCTTATGCCAGTCCCTTAAAACTATGCATATCCTTACATACAGTTTGAATTGAACTGTGAAAACTGTGAACATTGTGAAAATGGGGGTAAAACAAGGGCATTTCTTTTTTGGTTCTGTCTCATTCAGGAAACAATCGTACCTCACGTCCTCATTTCTTTCACATGAAATATTTTTCTCTCTGCAATCCAAAAAAAGCCCATCTAGTTGTCTTTGGACCCCACCCCCATTGTTCTAACTCGCCAGAGTGCCTTCCTGTTCTAGAGTGGCTTGGCATTCGGGACCTCACAGACCGGCTGTGTGTTTTGGAGCAACTTGAGGAGCTTCTTCAGTCCAGTGACCCTAGCGATAGTCAGGACCATGAGCAGCCAGTAGTGACACACGACAGCATCTACAGCAGCCACACAGGTAGGTGACCTGGTCAAATATACAGTGGAGTAATGGAGTCAAAAGATTACACCGTGACTGGAGAACACCAGAGCCTAGACGTGTGAGGTGGACATCAATGGGACAAAAAGAAGTACTAGAAGTTATAGGTTAGTTCAGTTCGGCTCGGAAACTGGAATCACTTTGGTAGTGATTCCAGCTACCAAAATGTAGAACCTGTTTGGATATTATTTGATCACTTAAAAAGTCCTGTGATATATTTTACACTTAAAGTGATTAATAAAAGCCATGACATTTTTTCAAGTAAAGGTGTTTGAAGTACTTCTAGAGCCTAAGATTTGTCCGACAAATTTTCTCTAATTACACTGGATGAAGGTCACAGTAAAAACAGGTATGTGTAAACATATAAAATAAAGCTGCAGACAAATATCTTTTTGGGACAGTTTTCTGTTTTTCATTATATGAAATGCCACATCTCCATCTACAGTAAAATCAGCCATCATTTCATTTGTTGTAACCATGAGTTTTGTTTTTGTTTTTTTGTGACCTCTGCATTTCATATTCTCATCCTGCTTTTGTTTGTGGCCATCTCTGTCATTGGCTCTGAGGACGTCTCAGTGAGCGAAAGATTGGAGAATGACAGGAAGTGGAAGTTTAAGTATGGGGGGTTGGGGGCGGGCCACTATGAACTGTATTTTTCTACTTTCACTCTCTCGATGTCCACTTTCTCTGGCTTTCCATGTTGGAAAGCAGTTGTACACTGATGGCTCTGTCTCTGACTCAATTTACGTTTATTTATTTATTCACCACAGATGTTTCGGAAAAAAGCCTCATCCTCCTTGAGAATGCGAGGAATATCAGAAAACAATAGACGTAATAAGTTCCCCTTCATTACTTTGTAGATGGTATAATAACCACTAAACTACAAACTTTGTTCAAGGCCAGTAGTGGCAACCATTCCAGATTAACACCATTTAGAGAAACAGAATAAATAAATAAATATATAAATATTTATTTATTTATTTATTTATTAGTGCTGGGCAATGATTAAATTTTTTTAATCGTGATTAATCGCATGATTATGCACAAAATTCAATAATGCATTCAAATGTAGTGTATTGTGCACTTTTTTCATTTAAAAGCACTGCTATATGAACAAAAGTGCAAAAAAAATTAGTTTGCAAACACTTTAAACAAATAAGGTGCTTTTTTTTTAATGGTAGCATTTCTTTTACATAGTAGCAGTTAAAATATTTCTTGTAAATTTCAACTTATAACATTAATGTAATCAAATTAAATATAAAACCAAAGCTATTTGCCACTGCCAGGGCATTAACGTTTTTATAGAAAATATTTTATAGTTTGTTATAGAAAAACAAGTTATGCTCAGAGTCCAGAGCCTCGATCATAACATTATAACAGGCACCTTCCGAGTAGAGACCTGCGCGATAGCGGGACCCAACACAGCAGAGTGCGGCGCGGGACAACACTTGATGGACGAGTGCGGGAGCGGGCGGGTAGAGAACTCGTGTGTGCGGGATGCAGGAGAATAAGGGTGTACTCGCACTAGGCAATCTTAATCGTACCCGAGCGCGCTTGAACCCCAAAGCCCGGTTCGTTTGACTAGTGTGATCGCTCCGTGCCACGCTCGGGTGTGGTTCGTTTAGCCGTCCCCGGAAGAGGTGGGCCAGAGCACGGGAATGGGAATGTGTCTTCACAGCGGCAATGCATTCTGGGAATTTAGGTCACGGGAGCTACAGCGGAAACTGGATAATATAGTGAATGTAGACGTTTGATATTATTTAATGTTTATATTATTCTACTTAAGATCACGTTGGAGTGGTTAAGGCTCACTTTACATCATTTGCCATAGCCCTTTGCACGGCCGGTGTGAAAAAATTGCTTTTGGAATGTGTCGTCACAGCGGCAATGCATTCTGGGAATTTAGGTCACGGGAGCTACAGCGGAAACTGGATAATATAGTGAATGTAGACGTTTGATATTATTTAATGTTTATATTATTCTACTTAAGATCGCGTTGGAGTGGTTAAGGCTCACTTTACATCATTTGCCATAGCCCTTTGCACGGCCGGTGTGAAAAACTTGCTTTTTTCAACCATTGCCCTTATCAATGTCTGCATTAAATACCTCTGCTTTTGATTAACGCTATGTTGATACAGTAATCGTTAATCATTCCAACGCGATCTGAAGTTGAATCACATAAACATAAAATAATATAAAATGTCTACATTCACTACGGAACTCGGATGAAAGTTAAACTGAAACTCGGTATGGTAAACAAACTAAAATAAGATGTCTTCAGATGTACATTGTGAGAGAGCCGTGTGTTACTGCGTCCCAAACAACTCAAAATAATAAACCACAAAGTTAACAAAAATGATGCACTCCACTTTGCTGAGCAAGAGCGCTTCTCTGCTGTCTTCACGTGCTATCAGAAACTTAGACCTACTATTTCCCACTTATGAAGTCATGATTACGAGCTAGTTGCATTCTTTTCCGTTAAAAATAACAGTGAACAGTGGTTTGTGAATGTTGATGCTTAGCTACCAGGCTGTAAACATTTATTTTTTTCTACTGTAAAGTTGAGCATTTTAACATGGGGAGTCTATGAGACTGACTCCCTTTTGGAGCCAGCCTCTAGCGAAAGAGGTACAACACATTACACCCCACATTGGTGCTAATGTTATGGAATGGTTTCCAGCTAATGGCTTTGTATGCTTTAATAGCTCACTGTTGTTTTTAAATTGTTCTGTGTGAATTCTAAGTGTCTACAGCTCAAGCCTACAGTAGGGATTTTGGGGTTTAAGCTTTGAACTAAGACATGTAAGCTTTGGATAATCAGATGACTCAACTGCAATGCATGTTAAAGAAATGGAGCAGCTGTACAGAGATGTGGTGTATATATATGGTACTGGTAACATGATTTGCATCATGGGTGGACTTCAACACCTTGACCCTGGGCTCCTGTTCTTTGCAATGCAGAAACTTTAATTACTGATTTACATTTAATAGTTATTAGTAGTGGTTAAAGATCATCAGAATTATACCTTTGTCCCATTTAAAGTGGGAACTGATGTCATAAATTACTAACCTTCATGACTGTGGTGCCCAGATGTCAATGTGTGAAGAGTTTGGGACAGTTGGGGTCTGGGATTTCAAGCATTTCTCTAAAAACATTCAGAAGACTTGTCAATCTCCTTCAGTCTGTTTTTATTCATTTTCAGCTTGATACACTTATGGTTCAGCTTATGATATAAGTTAGTGGTTGAACTTATCATTCATTGGTGTTTTGCGCAGGGAGTGTGGACCGTGCCCGAAGCTCCTCCTTTCATGAGGTAGGCAGGTCAAAGGAGCTGGAAATGAGGGCAGCAGCCTCAGTTTCCGAGGACACATCGGCTAGCAGCAGTAGTGGTAGCGGTCATACAGTTCTGCAACGGCTTTTACAGGAGCAAATGCGCTATGGCGAGGGCCGGAATTATTTTGCCCTGCAGCAACAACAACAACAGCAACAGCAGCAGCAGCAGCAACAACAACAGCAACAAGGTCCAGTAAGTGGATACCCGGGCCCTGGCAGCCCAGGGGACGAGCACTCGATGGTCCCTCACATTGCGAGGCAGGAGCCTCAGGGCCAGGAGCTGCAGGCTGACAGCGGCATGGAGAAGCTTAGTACACGCACTGCAGGAGGAGGAGGTGGTGGCAGTGGAGGCACATTGTCAGGTGGTGGAAGCTGCGTGAGCGGTCAAGGGCAGAATTTCGAAGACCTGCCCACCTATGACCAAGCCAAGGTGCAGTCGCAGTATTTCCGTGGCCATCAGCCCCAGCAGCCTCAACCACAGATACCCCCATCAGTAGGTACTGCATTTTATGTGACTGGCGTCAGCAACCCTAAAGTGCGGCCCCCAGAGGGCAGGGCCACGGTGCAAAGAGTGAACGGAGGCAAAGTGCACCAAGACGACGGGCTCAAGGATCTTAAACAAGGCCATGTACGTTCACTCAGCGAAAGACTAATGCAGCTCTCACTGGCCACCAGTGGGGTCAAGGCCCATGCGCCTATTACCAGTTCACCACTTTCCCCCCAGCTGCCTCCACCTGGACTTCCTGGAGACTACTATAAACCCACTGGGCACCCACACAGAGGCCCACCACCAGACTACCCTTTTAAAGGAATGCCCTCTCCACTCAAACAGCAGCAGCACTATCAGCCTCAGCACCAGGAGCCTGGACACTTCTACCCAGACCACCATGGCACAAGCCAGCCAGCCAGGGCTGACATTCCTCATGTCCGGTACCAGCCACCACCTGAATATGGCTCTTTCCGGTGAGTGTACCTTAAAGGCTCCAAAGTGGGCTAAGTTTGGGAATTTTTGTAGAAACTAAAGTGATACACCTTGAAACACAAATTACATTCCTTGAATCTTCAGTTAAACAATTCCAAATAATGAGTAAAAAAAAAAAAAAAAAGCCCTTCCCTTAGATGCTGGGACATGTTGTCAGGAAACCAGTAATGGGAAAAGCCAGTTTTGCCTGTTTCCCTCAATTCATTCACCTCAGAGCCAGTGTGTGGCATATAGCAAAGGAATGCATGTCAAATTCTAATAATCATCTACAACGTGTCACAACATGACAGTTTCTCCATTATGTTTCAGAGAACCAGGAATGTTGACCTGTGAAAAAATATTTTTATGAACGGTTGGAATGCATTGCATAGTTTCCACTTTGGCCAAGTTATTGTTTTCTAACCGTGATTTAATCACTTACAAGAAGCCATTGGTTATGCAAGTGTAAATCAGCCTAATTTATTTGAAGGTCAACAAAAGTTCTCTTTAATTTTTGTTTATATTTTTAGACTTTTGTAATCAACCAAGATGTGAATATTATTTATTGCTCTGCTCTCATTAGGTCAAATAAGGAGAGTTCAAGTCACTCTCAAAGGTCTGTCCATCACCACAGCCCTTCATCTTCTGTTACGTCAGGGGGCTCTCTCTCCCGTGCTCAGTCTTCCACTCTTAGCAACATCATGGCCTCTTACCACCCTCCTCCACCTATGGGTCACCAGGGAGAGCCACCCTTCCCCACTGGTGCTTGTAGCCCACAGGGGCCTGGTTCCCACCAAGGTGATCCATACGGCCCTGGTCACCCTCCCCATCAGCGAAGCCACGCGTTTCCTCATGATCCTTATGGGTCAGCTCCCAGGGGCCTCCACATGCATCAGCACCAGTACCACCAACAGGGCCCGCAACAGAGTCCAGGACAACACTACCCACATCCACACTCCATGCAGGGGGATCCTTATGCCATGCTAGCCCGTGCCCAGCAGATGGTGGCTATGCTGTCTGAAGAGAACCGCTTGCTTAAGCAAGAGCTGGAAGTGTGTGGGGAGAAGGTGTCCAGACTACAAAAGGTATTTTTTTAGATCGTAAATCAGTGGAAACCTGGGCCAGTTCACAATAGGCCAGTGTTTCCCAATCTTGTTCCTGGAGGTACACCAACAGTACACATTTTGAATGTCTCTCTTATCTGACCCATCTATTTCTGGGCTTGGAGTCTTTACTAATGAGCTGATGAGTTGAATCAAGTGTTTAAAGGGGTCATGAACTGAGAAATAAAATTTCCATTGATCTTTTGACATATAACAGGTCAATATACTTTAAAAACATCCTGTAAATTTCAAAACTTTAAAAACTTAGTTTAAAAACTTTATTGGAACCAAGCTCAGGAAACGTCTCGTTTTGGAATGTGCCACTTTATGACGTATTAGTGTGGCTAAGCACCGCCTCTGCAGGAGATGATCAACACCTGCTTCTACATCACTGCCTCTTTAGCCCCACCCACTGATACTCACTTGTAGTAGCAGGGCTCGCAAAATTTCAAAATCCCTGGTAACCCTTCGGGCAGGTACTCTTCAGATTTTGGTAGCCCGAAAATTAATTTAACTAGCCCAAATAAAAAAAGACCTTTTTTTTTTTAAATATAGAAAATCAGATAGGAGTTTAAATGTCAATCAAAAAATATTTTCAATAGAGATCTGCATTTAAGATAGCCCGTCGGGCAGAGTGGTGATACATTTTGGTAGCCCGACTGGAAAACACAATAGCCCTGGGACGTCGGGCTAGCGATTTTGCGAGCCCTGAGTAGGAGGAGAGGAAATACTAGAGAGACGCAAACACCGGATTACTCCATCAAATCTCCAAAAGAACCATACAGATTACATTACAAGATTACTAGACACTTTGCAGTCTAAGTTGTGAAAAATAGTCTTTGAATTGCCTTCCTTGTGATCCTAACAAATCTAGATCGGATGCGAGTGCTGTTGCTCATGTCACAAATCAATTTCTCTTTCAGGTCAGAAGCGGCGTGAATGCTTGTATGTCAGAAATAGAGCGGGACATCAGTTTACTGTTGGAGATTTGTTGTGTCAATCCATCCTGCATCCGGTTTAGACAGAATCGATGATTATAATGGGTTCTGTTGTCTATAGTCGCATTGCACCACTCGCGTCCGGTGTAAACATGGGGTAAAATTAGCTCCAGATCGCGTCAGTGAAACACTGTTTGTTTGTTTGTTTGTTTGTTTGCTTTACTTTACTACGGATTCTTCTTTAAACAAGACCGTATAATGGAGGCTTTTCAGGGTGCTTTCACTCTTGGTTCGATTGCCTGGTCCGAACCTGAGTTTGATCGCACCCCCTCCCCCTGCCCCCACTGGACTGTGTTCACATTATATATTTGTGTCCGAACCGCGGTTCGTTTGCATCAAGTCAGCAGCTGTTTACCCCATTGCTTAGTAACGACACTGTAGGATAAGGCGGCAAAATGCGTAGCATTGCTCATATTTTATATTTATTGTTTTTGATCCGTCTCAGCCGGCATATGACCGACCTTCAACATTGAAATATGGTTGAAATAATGTCAGTTCTTGTTTCAATGTTGAAACAACGTTCATACAACGTTTAATGCTGAACGGTTTTGTTTCCAAAGCTTCAGTACATAACGGCACTTATGTCTGTCTTACGAATGTACTGCAAATTCTCTAAAGAACGCCGAAGTGAACAGAAATGAGATATACAGCTCTCTGCTTGCAGCGCGTCAGTCACGCTCATCAAGAAAGTGTGAAAAACACACACAAACACACATTTTTATCAAATAATGTGTCATTAATAGCAGTTCACTTCCGCGATTTGGTATGATTGCGTTCACATCAGCAGCAAACCGTACCGAAGTTCACTTGAACCGTACCCTAGACCACCCCTTTTAAGCGGACTCAGGTACGGTTCGCGGGTGCGCACCCAAGTTCAGAAGACAGTGTTCACATCATCCAAACGTACCGAACTCTGACATCAATCGAACCTGGGTGCACACCAAAAGTGCTAGTGTGATAGCACCCTCAGAGGGACTGAAAGTAAATGATGATGCAGTGCGGAGTCTGACTAGAGTGTATCCAACAGTAATGTCGCAACACATAAGTGTGAGTAAATGTGCTTTTACCACAATTGCATTGTCTGTTCCAGACTGTTTGATATTATTGAGTATTCAAATGTTTTTAACCCAAATGACCCATGTTGTTTTCAGAGTATGTCACAGCAGCGTCCATCTGTTATTTTAATAGGTGAAAGCCAATCATAGCAGTGGGTGTTTTCTTGCGAGTCTTGAATGCACCCCGCCTATAAAAACAGATCATTCTGCAGAGAGGCTCAAAAACAGGATAGAAAATAGTTACTATTACTTCTTACTTCTTCTAATACTATTACGCCTAGTACTTCTAAATTATTATATTTTTTTATGTAAAATCACACTAATATTATAAGTGAACCTCAGAGAACATTATAAAATAATTTTTTAAAAATGCAGTTCATGACCCCTTTAATTAGGAAGAGTTCGAAAGTGTGTAGTATTGGTGTGCCTCCAGGAACAGGGTTGGGAAATACCGTGATAGGCTCCCAGATGTCCCAGCACCAGCTCGGGCATGAGAACCAGCACCATTTAGGCGTAAAAGTGTAGAAGATTTGGAGTTATTTCATGCAAGGCAACATTCCATACTGTATCCTTTTGAATTTCAAACCCATATACATTATATTTTTTCTGTAAGACCTCAGCAATATTAATGCTCTCTTATCTCTGCAGTTGGAGACTGAGATCCAGATGGTGTCTGAAGCCTATGAGAACCTGGCCAAATCATCCACAAAGAGGGAAGCTCTCGAGAAGACCATGAGAAATAAGTTGGAGATGGAGGTGCGCAGAATGCACGACTTCAACAGGGACCTAAGAGGTGAGAACAAAGCAGGATAATTGAATAAAAAATAGGGTTTAGGTGAGTATTAGCAGGGCTCCAGACTCATTCTTCCCACTGGTCGCTCTTTTGCGACTAACTTTCTCAGTTGGTCACACGAGCACATGATTTGGTCGCTATATTTTTTTATTATTTTTGTTTTCCGCTATGACATGGGATTAATCAATGCATGCTTTATCATAGTTTATAGTTATATGGAAACGAAAGTGGTTAATATTCAACCCGTTCTTTTTCATCAGTATTATTTGTGATTAGAATTTTGTGAACGGGAGTTCCTCTTTTGCTATGTTATAGGCTGGGCTTTGGGTGCTTTCACTTTCGAATTCGCGATCTTGTCACGTTTTACAAGAAAAGATAATTGTCTGTTTTGCTTGCATACACCTTTCACTTTTTAAGACTAAAACAATAGATGGATTCATTGTTATTCTTAATTAAAAAGCACAACAACAATAAAACAGTAAGATACATTGACAAACTAGCTTACAAAACGTTTATTAACAAAAACGAATAAGATGAGGCATGGCATACACCACATGCTGTATTATATACAGACTAATAAATTACAGAATGTTTAGCAAACACTGAGGAATCAAATAAAAAAATTTAATAAAAGAGAGCCTCCATAGCGTAATGTGAGGTAAACAGCAAAGATAACAAGCTTTTTAAAACGAAAACAAAAAGAAGAGTAAAACTAAACTTGCTGTCGGTGATGATAGTGCTTGCATGTTTTTTCCCCACATGAATATCAACATGTTCACCCTCTCTGGTTTAAGAAACGGTCTTTTACTTTACTTTAGCATGAAAACCATCCATCGTTTCCTCAATATTTGCGTAATTTTTTCTGCGCGCACCTTCGCGCTCATGTTGATGCGGCGAGTATAAACCAGGCTCTACACTCGGAAGCGCTGCGCAGTTCAAACGAGTAGCGCAGTTTCGTTATGCTTTCAGTTTCGTTTGCCGTTTGATGTTTCTCATATGCAACAGAAATGGCAGCACTTATGAGTTGAACAACGCGGTGGTCGCGCCAGTGCGACCGCACACAAAATTTAGTTGCACAGGCAGAAAAAATGGTCGCAGTCTGGAGCCCTGATTAGGAGGAGATAATTATGAAAGGAGTGTTCATGAATTGTACCTTGCCACTATATCACAATCTTATGAATAAGCTGTGACTCCAAAGCATATTTGTGTCATTCTTAGTATATAGTGCACCATTTTGAGGTAAACTTTTGTTGAATTTTGTTTTCGGTAATATGCTTGAGAAATCAATAAGAGCAAGACCTGTTTATGGCTGACAGGGTGAAATGAATCCAGTAATTCATTTCACCCTGTCAGCCATAAACAGGTCTTGCTCTTATTGATTTCTCAAGCATATTACCGAAATAGTCCAGTATATAGTCCAATATACCAGTGCAGTAGAGCAGAGTAAAGCTTCAAGACTTAATATTATTTCTGTCATGACAACTCTCTGAGAGTTTAGCATGGTAATGTACATGACAATGTTAATGTTTTTGGTCTTGGCGAGAATAGGGGGCCGTTCACATATTGTGTCTAAAAACTCATTGAAAACGGCAGCTGCGCCGCTTTCTCCTTCTTTCCAAAGCGCTCGGAGCTTCCGTCCCTGTGGCGTCTGCCGTTGTTAAGCAACCATGGCCTGCGCTCTCCATGACGAAGCGGAAGTTTCAACAAATGATAAATGGATTTCCAGCACTTAAAATCGCTTGCAGTATCTCTGCAACTAAATTAATTTAAAAATGGGTATCCCTGTGATCAGCTGTTCCTCCATCTTGGCTAAGCTTTTAATGATGTTATGGGAAAAAGTGAAGCTGATTGGTTGGTTCTTGTCACATGACCTGTGGTGCACTTGCAGCATTCTGAAAAGTTTAAATGTTTTCATCTTGCTGCGGCATAGACGAGCTTGGAAAAAACGAGCGCGTTGCAGCACATGAGTATCGCGATTGCGCCGCTTCTATTATGAGCACGCTTGCTGCGCATCTACATTTGAAATAACGAACTTGAGCACGCAAAAGATGCGACGTGTACGACTCCTAGATCTGCTACACTGGTGCGGCGGCAGAGCAGGTACCGTGACTTGCTACTGCCAATACATCCACAGACATGCTGCTGTAGTCATGTAAGGAATACTGCTGCTGCACATATAACATATATGAAATATCCCCCATATATAACATACATGAAATCAACCTGTAGCAGATCTATACAGGTGGAGCTGGGGAAGATGGAGGGTTTCTGAAGTGTGCTGCAACTGCTAACCAATCAGCTGCGCCATGTGAATAATTATGTAATTATGTCAGATTGAGTCATTGCGCCATCTAGAGTTTCGTGACAAACTTTGGATGTGTATGAAAATCAGATGGAGAAACAATACGGTTTAGAGTCGGTAAATGATAATGTTGTGGTGGTCCCTCCTGGCTCCAACATTCTGTCCTTCCCATTCAAAGAGGCTCCACATTTTTATCCAAGTTCAAAGCATTTTAATTTTCATTTAGTTTGCTTTCTTTTGTGTGATATCTCATGGCTCTGTGTAGTATCTTTTGGAGTCCAAACCAAAGCAACAGTTTCTCGCTCTCATTCCTCTGCTGCTGTCAGCAGGCCCACTCTACCTGAGTGTGGCCACCTCGACTATCATGCCTCACTGTGTTCTTTAGTCCAGCAGAGAACAGAGAAACCCTGATTTATGGCTGTATGCCCAGACTTTAAGTCCACAGGGAGCTCCCTGAGTTTTACAGCAAATTTTTCTTCTCTCTCTTGCCCTTCTTTCTTTCACCCCATGTTTCTCATATTACCTTGATATACTACTTTTGCTATTGTTCAAGCCTAGATTTTATCAAAGTAGATTTCTTACAATCATTAATTAGTGTTGTTTGTGAAGGCATCCATCACTATTACTTTTGCTCATTTTCAACAAACCCTCGATCCTAACTGTTCGGGTGCATAGTTTTTCCTAATATGTTTGTACTACAGACAAAAACTAGTTGAAGTGTGCTGTTACTTTTTTGTGGCTGTGGGGCACAGTGGGGGAAAGGCATTTGATTCTGGAATGTCAAGTCAAGTCACCTTTATTTATATAGCGCTTTTAACAATACAGATTGTGTCAAAGCAACTGTACAGCATTAATTAGGAAAATATTGTGTCAGTAATGCAAAATGATAATAGTAAACACTCAATTTTCAGTTAAAGGCAGTTCATCATTGAATTCAGTGATGTCATCATCCAGCTCAGTTCAGTTTAAATAGTGTCTGTGCAATCAAGTCGACGATATCGCTGGAAATTAAGTGTCCCCAACTAAGCAACCCAGAGGTGACAGCGGCAAGGAACCGAAACTCCATCGGTGACAGAATGCTCATCTCACAGACTGGTTGACTTAAAGGGGTCATATGATGCTATTTTAAAGATCTGTATTTGGTGTAACAGAATATGTTGACATGCTTTAATGTTCAAAAAACACATTATTTTTCAAATACTGTACATTATTGTAGGTCCTCTATGCCCCGCCTCGCTCAAACACGGCGTTTTCAACAAAGGCCCCTCCTTTGACAAGCGCAGTCTGCTCTGATTGGCCAGCTGACCCAGTGCATTGTGATTGGCCGAACACCACAAGCACGAGTCGGAAATGTAACGCCCCTTACCATAAACGCGAGCTTCAACCAAAAATGTTATTTCTCATCTATATTTTAAATCTAGAATCTTAATTCTTTTGAGAGGCACTAAGTGGGGGAAAGGCATTTGATTCTGGAATGCTCGTCTCACAGTCTGGTTGACTTAACAGAGAGGGAAATATTGTTTTAACGTTTGGCCCACTTCCTTGATGAATGGTTTGCCATTTCAAAAACTAGCAACTCCTGCTATATAATGGCCCTTTTATCTGGGCCAGTTTTAACAGCACATCATGACTTATGTCAAGACCGCTCTTTGGGAACTGGGCACATATAAAATGTTTGTTAGATTCTTGTTTTCCAATTTGCTGAGCAACCAGTCCCAGTGGTATATCATTTGTGAGAAGAGGCCTGGAATATGAGCTACATATTCTAGGGTTTTTTGGTAGGATGGAGAATATTGCACAAAGCCTCTGTTAAAACAATTACAGCTGTTTGTTGCATTTATTGAATGCATGAAGTAAATTCAATATTTTTATTTTGGTATTAGTATTTTGAAAAGGCTTGTTCGTGGTTTTTTCCACAAATAAATAATAACCACATTTTGTAATGAGACGCCATATAAACTTTCACATGAATACATCCACATATAAAATCTGTTTGACACAGATGGTCTGGTTTTGGTATCCTGTTTCCTAACACTGATTTAATCTCTCGCATATGACCAAACTTTATGAAGCATTGTGATATTATGAACCATACAATTAGGGGAAAGTATGATGGTATTGTCTCTTTCTTTCAATAGAGCGAATGGAAACGGCCAACAAGCAACTCTCCGCAAAAGAGTATGAAGGCACCGAGGACAATCGCAAAACCATCTCACAGCTTCTGGCTCAGAGTGAGTGGACCTCTAGAAAAAATCTAGATCTTCCTTGAAGCCAATATGATCACTTAAATTAACCACAGATTTGTTTTTATATACCATTCATTTGTAAGCACAAATTTTTAGTTGTGATATATTGGAAAAGAAAATGCAGAATGTCCATTTTACTCATTTATCAGTTAAAGAGATTCAGAGAGAGAAGGAGAAGCAGGATATCGAGTTAAATTCACTTCGCTCTACCAATGAGGACCAGCGCAGACACATTGAGATCCGTGACCAGGCCTTGAATAATGCCCAAGCCAAAGTGGTCAAACTGGAGGAGGAGGTAAAGCTCATTGATAACCAGTGGTACCCCTGTACAATTAGTTTTACATGCTTTTATTTACTCCATTTGTGTTTTTAAATTTACATAGATATATGCCCACTTTTTAACAACCACTTTTTTAAACAAACAAACATTTTAAATTGGTACAGAACAAAGCAGACACTCAGGTTCTCACCCCTCCGGTGTTCATTTACTTACCTGCATGTCAACAAAATTAATTTACATATTCTACGATTTCTGTGACCATATGTATACGTGTTCCCTTCCTCCTTGTGGTCAAATTGTATGTTACTCTTTCAGAACTAAGGAAATCTCAAAGGACTTCTGTTTTTTTATTTTGGTCAGGGAGTTGCTGAATCACACTGCCATCCAGATGAAGGGCTGAGGCAGTTTAACTGTTTGGCAGCCTTTCACTGGACAGATTTTTAGAGAGGGCTTGATCTATTCCAGATACTTCACAAATTGCTTTAAGAACGCTCTTGACCATTGGACAATATAGCAGAATAGATCGCGTTTTGGGAAATAAATTAACATCTGTAAATATTTTCTGCTTATGAGTATCTATTGTTGATAAACAAAGTTGTGGGTGTACTTTATCGAAACAGCATTAAATGAACATTTCATTGAGTCACAACTCACTTACCCTCAAACACATCCCTGTGGTACTCCACCACAATGTTTAAGCTCAAGCTTCTTAAGTTCTTTGAAGTTCTTCCCGTCAGCTCCTCATTGCTGCAGTTAAGATCTTCAAGCTCGAGTGAACCGTTGGCCGCAATTTTCTCTGAAACCACACAACCTTTACTGAGGCCAAGAAAAGCTTAAATAGGGAGAGAAAGGGAGAAAAAAGCCTTCTAACCAAAGAAGCGTTGACGTTTCTGAACTCCACTCTTGAGTGTTTGTAACAGTTGGAGTCTGTGGTTGAGCTATTTTGGCGTTCTCCCAGATGGCCTTTTGGTCATTGCTGAACGGGGTATGCACCCTTGCATCCCAAAATGCACCGGGCCGTTCCACTTTTGTTCTGCCCTGTCACAAATGCCTGCTTGTTCCCCTAACAAAGCCTCTTGAGTTGTCTGCCATGAAAGGACTTGAAGATGGCTAAATTCTTGCCCTCTCCACCCACCCCTTCCAAACGAGAGCCAAATAATTCTGTGCTCTCTCTCTCTCACTCTTCTGTTATGTTGTCTACCCGCCCCAGCCAAATAGTGCCATTAATTTTGACTGCAATTAAAACCACTGGTGGATTTGAGAGATGTACAGAAGAAAAAGAGAGGTTGAAAGATACAAGGAGGCATTGTAGGTAGATGGGGTTTTCTGGTTGTGGCATGAGAAGCAGAGTCTGACCTGCATTCTCTGTGTTTGTATAGCTGAAGAAAAAGCAGGTATATGTGGAGAAGGTGGAGCGGATGCAGCAGGCTCTAGCACAGCTTCAGGCTGCTTGTGAGAAGAGAGAACAGCTTGAGCATCGGCTACGCACTCGACTGGAGAGAGAGCTCGAATCACTCCGAATGCAACAGGTAAGAAATGCACACGCTATTCTCGCTTAATCAGACTTTTGGCTTTTAATTGGAATTTGACCACAGAACCGTTTGTTATCTTGACAGTTTTATATATATATAATTTTTTTTTCCCCCTCTGGGCCCCAGTTTGAAAACCTTTGTATTAAACTTCCAATAAATGCAATGCAACAAATGCATCATGCTCATGCTGTCCTTGCGGAGATGGTCCGTTCCCTTGTGTGTCCACTTTTTACTGACCCCTAATCTGGGGTAAAGGTTGCAGCTCACCCTCCTATGTTAATGTGTGTGAGTTGAGAGTAGAGGAGGAGTAGCAGACAGCTGTATTCTTCATTAGAGGCACAGACACTGGACATCCTTCCTCTGTGGTGTTCACTCAACCAAGACACCTGAAACAATCTTCAGATGAAATTAGAATACTTTAGATCAGCAGTACTCAAATCTTAGAGGCTGTTTACAACTGGTCACGTCAGGTGTTTTCTCTCTTCAGATAGCTATCCAATTGTGAAGAGACCAGGTGTAAATGCCCTCTGAAACGCTTTTGAGATGGATTTAAATCTGATCACTCAGACCACTTCAGGAGGTGGTCTGGGACGCATTCCAGACGAAACTGGACAAGTGTAAATGCATCTGGTTGTTGATACCACATTTTACTCCTCCCCAAAAAAATAAAAATAAATGTGTGAGAGCTTGTTATAGGCTATGTGACATGGTATAGCCAGATATGACGGCGCTAAAGCAACACGCATTACCGCAAATGAGTAGCTGAGTATCTCTTCAGCAAACCGACATGCAAACTGAACCTGAAAGTCACATGCGCTCAACACAATCATCTTCATTAAAAGTAGTGAAACAAAATGATCTTACCAGTGCTGATGCCACTCTCTCTCCTATTGCAGTCTTTGATCTTGAAATTAGCTGATGATAAATAAAATGCAATGCTTATCTGTTGCTTTCGTTGATGTGAACTCCCACTAAATTTGCATATAGCACGGGAATTGAAGATTCCATTTATGTGGCCAAGTGTAAATGTATCCGTTTTAACAAATCGCTATACGATCAGTAAAAATACATGAAGTGACCAGATGTAAACAGGCCCTTAAGGTGCCGTCAAATTTGCGAAATTTTACACAGAAGTCACTTTCAAACCAACCAGTTTTCTGTTGGTCAAAGTGGTGAATCCACATGACCAAATTGATTCTGTTGTGAAATCTGCATGGGGACATCTTTTACCCTCAAACAAAATTCTTGATCACGTGGATTCATGTTGAAATGACTGGAATTTGCCTGTCGCAGAACAACAGTGAATTAAAAATGCCCTAAATTTGACCTTCCAAATTATGAGAGTGATTCATAAAGACATGCTTAAGACTTTATTATGAAACATAAATATATCGTGATACCAATTTTGGCCATATCGTCCAGCCCTAATAGAGTTTAATGTTAGCATGTTGCTAAACAAACAGCACAATAGTCAAATAAGCATAAAATACAAAGCTCTAACAAAACATTGGACTTTTCCACACAGAAAACTCAACAAGTTAAGTGCAAATTCTGCCTTGTAGACAATTTCATTGGTTAACTCAATCACTCAGTCGACTCAGTCATCTGTCAAGAAAAGTTCAGACTTCATGAATTTAGCTCAGAGTTCAGAAATACTATGTATGTGGCTGAGTAATGCTTTCTATCAGGATGTGCTACCAACCTAAGGTTAAGATTATGAGTTTAGTGTTTGTTTAATATTGTGTTGTGTAGGTAATCAGCACTGTGATTGACACGACCAATGCAATCATTAGAATCAGCTGCGTGGGAGGGGGGTTGCACTTAACTGGTTTGGGGAAAAAACTGAAGACAGACCATTGTGTTTTTGGTTCAAATTTTGAAATTATACAATCTAATTTAGATTAAAAACTGCTCATGTTGCATGTATGCAGCATCTTTGTTTGGATCATGATTAAAATGCAGTGGTAAATGGAAAGAGCACAGACAAAGTCTTAGTTTGTTTATATGAAGAGATTTATTTTATTTGTGTTATTTATTTTATTTGGGGTTTGTTTCAAAATTTCGATTTAGTTTTGTTATTTACATTTACATTTTGTTATTTAGCAGACACTTTCCACTATCCAAAGTGACTTACAAATGAGGACAATAGAAGCGAACAAAACCAACAACAGAGCAATAATATGCAAGTGCTATATTAGTATATTATTATAGTGTTCTATTTCAATTTCACAAAGAAACGTGCAGCATTTTGTCCAAGCAATAATAAAAGGACACATTTCATTTATAATTTGTCTTAAATCTCATTTTGTAAAAAAAAATAAATAACCGTGAATCAAATCGCATTGTGAAATCAAAATCGTGAATCAAATCGAATCGAATCGTGAGTTGAGTGAATCGTTACATCCCTATAAGCTATGCTTAGTATTGCTTAGTGCTCAATAGGCATAAAATACACAGCACATTAAAATATTAGGTAAAATGATACAGTTTTCATTAGATTGCATTGATTGTAACCCTAGTGTTGATTTTTAGTCTAAGCCAGTTTGCTTATTTTTAATGACATTTTAGTCAATTGATTTACTTAACTAATATTTATCAATGGTTCTTTCTAGGGATGTTCATTTTAAAGGGGTCATATGATGCGATTTCAATTTTTCCTTTCTCTTTGGAGTGTTACACCTCATGTTCTGTTGTTTGCTGCTTTTTGCGCATGTAAAATTAATCCCCGTAAAACAAATGTTAGTATTTTTTAACAGGTCACAGACACTTACCCTTTCTAATTTAATTCAATTCTAATTTAAAATAATCTTGTCTGTTAACGGTTAATGAGCATCGGTTGTCTGTTAGGAAAAATAACCAAAATGAACATCCCTAGTTCTTTCTGTCTCTCTCTCTCTCACAGAGGCAGGGTGGTTCTCAGAACACAGTTGGTCCTGAATTCAGCACAGCGGCTCTGATGGAGCACCTGAGAGAAAAAGAGGAGAGGATTTTGGCCCTGGAGGCCGACATGACCAAATGGGAGCAGAAATACCTGGAGGAGAGTGTCATGAGACAGTTCACACTGGACGCCGCTGCTTCTGTGGCCACCCAGAGGTACGCAAATTCACTGCTATCCACAAAATCTACAATGTAGGAATATATCAAGTTATCAGTGAGTTTGCAAAACAATAAAACTAAGCTGAAACTATAGTGCACTGCAGTGCAAATGCTGTCATTCAAAGTGACTACATGAATGATTACGAATACAGAGACTATATAAAATAAAACTAAAAGTTGAAATTAGATAAACACAGAAGTAAAATTATCTGTGACCATTGATGGAAACTGAAACAAAACTGGATTTGAAAACAAACTACAAAATAAAAGTAACTAGTGAACTCAATTTCTCATTGTTTTTTTATGTTTGTTTGTTTTCTAACCTATCCAGAGACACGTCCTCCGCCATCATCAGCCACTCCCCCAGCAGCAGCTACGACACTTCGTTGGAGGCACGTATCCAGAAAGAAGAAGAGGAGATCCTCATGGCTAACCGCCGCTGTCTGGACATGGAGAGCAGGATCAAGAACCTGCATGCTCAGATCATAGAGAAGGACGCCATGATAAAGGTACTGCATCAGCGCTCGCGGAAAGAGCCGGCCAGCAAATTAGACGCACCTGCCATGAGGCCCTCTAAGTCCCTCATGTCCATAGCTACGGGCACTGGCAGCTCCAGCGGCTCTGGGCTGCTGTCACACTCTCTGGGCCTCAGCGGAGGCAGCCCCATCACGGAGGAGCGCAGGGAAGACCGCAGCTGGAAGGGCAGTCTGGGTAAGTGCATCCGGTGTGATGTGGAATAGAACTGAAATGGGAAAACTGATGGGACTGTTTAACCCTCAGAGAAGTCTCCAGTAGTAGGGGTGTGCGATATCACGATTTTTGATCATGGATGATTAAAATGTCTCCATGATCTGCTTTTGAAGAAATATCGTAGTATCGTGCTTCAGCGCACATTCTATCAGTTGCAGTTCTGGTGAATCCGTCTCAATATACTGTACAACGCGACGTACATTCACATCAAATGTTAACTCAGCGGTAGAGTTACACTCAACGGACACTGCACTTCGCAATCACAAAAGTGCATTATTTGCATGTGCTTTTAAAGCCTTGCTGGTTAAACATTTAATTTGCGTGCTGTTCTGACATGTGCTTTTTCTGAGCATGTACACCTGAAGCATGCACACACTAAAAAGCCTGTCAAACAGCGCCTGATTACTGGAATAAGTTATCTTTCATGTCTGATTGCGCTAATATTGTCAAAAACACACAAGGTTTACATATAAACACAGTTGGTTACGTCTAAAGTGAAAGTAAAGTTGAGAGAAAAACGGAATGCGTGCTTGTATATCAGATGTGTGCAGCTCTTAAAGTGACAGACAGCAGACTAATAGTACTAAACATGCTGCCGCTGGTCATTAAAGGGAGAGTTCACACAATTTAAATTCTGTCAATATTTACTCATTCTTGTATTGTCCCAAACCTGTATTAATTTCTTTCTTGTGCTGAACAGAAAATAAGATATTTTGAAGAATGTGTGTAACCAAACAGTTGCTGGTCCCCATTGACTTTGATAGTAGGAAAAAAATACTATGGAAGTCACTGGGGGACCAGCAAGTGTTTGGTTACCCACATTTTTCAAAATAACGTTTATGTTTAACAGAAGAAAGAAACTCATTCAGGTTTAACCTTCTGTAACGGGGCGAACGAGACGAAAGACGTGCGGATCCATATGCAAGCTTTTATTCAAATACATGGTCAGAAACAGGCAGGGTCGAAACACCAGCAAACAGATATGGCACAGACGAGACAAAAGAATAATCCAAGGACAGACTTGATCAGGCTCCGGCGAACAATATCCAATAGGGCAAGGCAAACGGGTAATCCAACAGACAAACAATAATCCATGCGAGGTGCAAACAGAGTCCAAGAGTAGCTGTCACTAGGTGAGCGATAAGCGCTAAACAATACTCGGCGATTTGAAAGAGGAAGTCCATGGCTTATAAAGTGTCTTAGATTGGTTGCAGTTGTGTGT